TTTCACTGTTTTGGTTATAAGCCTCTGGATGGTCTCCAGGTTACCAGTGTCCTTCCTAACCTGTGGCATTCAAAACAGCATGGCCCTGGTAACGCGGTCTAAACAGCACCAAGGACAGAAGGGCTCTCACCACGTCGTTCCTATTCACAGTGCAGTACAAGATCACATTAGTATTGCCTTTTGGGCTGCCAAATTCACGCTGCTCACTCAGATTAAGCTTGTAGTCTACTAAGATCCCTAGATCTTTTTTAAGCTGCTTTCTGTTTCTGTTTTTCATTGTTCTCCCATTTTGTAATAATGGAACTGGTTTTTTTAACCGAAGCATAAGACTTTACATTTATACCTATTGAATTTTACCTTATTAAATAATTCATCCCATTGCTAGAGTTTGTCAAGATCTTCTTGAATTCCAGTGACATTATCCTGTGTGCTTCCTATCCGTCCCAGCTTTTTGTCATCTGAAAATTCGATGAGTTACATAATCACTCTGCTTTGGTTTCCTAAAATTTGTTCAGTCATTTTTCAGTTATGTCTGACTGTTTGTAATCCTGTTGCAATCTGAGAGGTTGAGACCCCTCAAAGACCAAGTACAGGACGGGTTGTCTGGAATGAATTCACAGGCTCAAGCATTCTTTAAGTCAAGGTGGCAAAGATTTATTGTTACACTTTTCAACGAGCAAGGATTCTTAAGGAACCTTCAAGAGACTGAGGATGGAACTAGGGTTTATATGGAAAAGGGCATGGGAAAGAATGCCAGGGACAATGATGAGGTAATCTAAAGGTGCACCTGTCTTTGTGAGCTATGGATGAGAAAGTACAGGGAGTATACCTGACAGGGAGGGAGATGACAGAGGTATGGATCTTGGGAGTCTGGCAGGAGGAAGAGTCCTTGGGCCAGCCAAGGACAAAACTCCTTGGGCCGGGCAAGGCACCCCTCTCCCTCTGTCTTGATGAGAGAATGCTCTGCAACAAGGGAAAGCTTTCTCACAAGACAGGAACTTACTAAGGAATTGGGAGGCTTCCAGAGACATGATCTGAGGGCTGGGACCTGAGCGGCCCAGCACTCTCTCACCCAGCTTTGTGTAGCTGCACCAGGGAGAGAGATAAGGGTCTTGCTGGTGCCCATGCATGAGTAATTGCTAGGCACAGTGTCCTTGGGCTGGGGAGTGGTTGTCAGAGACAGTGTTTCTGAGACTAGGGAGAAATTGGGATCCAAGTACAAGCACAAGCACCCAAGCACCCAATAAATCCCATTTGGAGTTTTCTTGGCAGAGATACTGGAGTGGTTTGCTATTTCCTTCTCCAGCTCATTTTATAGGAAACTGAGGCAAACAGGATGAAGTGACTTGCCCAGGGTCACCCAGCTAGTGAATGTCTGAAGCCATATTTGAACTCAGGAAAATGACCAGACCCCAGGCCTGGCAATCTTCCCACTCTACCACCTAGCTGCCCTTTTCCTAAAAGCAGGTGTCCAGAAAGCCTCTTCAAAGAATTCCATTCATTCCTTTAAGGAATTACATTCATTTCAGAGCCTGGATTCCAGGCTGATTGTTAGGGTAGCATCCAGCCTAGGACTGGTGCCCCAAGGAGCAAAGAGTAACCTTCTGCCCTTTGGCCAGCAGTGTGTGAGACGAGGACTCATCAGTGCTACCTTTGGATGGGGACTTAGTGGGACCCGTGCTATGTTGTTAAAGTTCATCCTTTGTTTTTGAGGAGGATAAATGACATCATAGGGTAAAGTCTTGACTTGCTGGTCAATTGCATCTAAGAGGCAGAGGTGCAGGACATTTTCAGCCTCACTCTCTCTTTTCTTTTTAATTTTAATTTTTTATTTTTAGGCAATTGGGGTTAAGTGAAGTGCCCAGGGTCCCACAGCTAGTAAGTGTCAAGTCTTTGGTCTGAGGCTGGATTTGAACTCAGGTCCTCCTGACTTCAGGGCCAGTGCTGTATCTACTGTGCTACCTAGCTGCCCCCCTCACTCTCTCTTACAGAGCCATCCAGTTCGGTGGCAAGACAAAAGTCAGATGACTGGTGATGCCCAGGATGCAGTGGATGACCTGACCTTTGATGCCTCACCAAGCTCTAAGCACTCACAGCACCTGCGTCAGCCATCTTCATGGCCGTTGGCACAAATTGTTCTCATGCAGCCATTCTGCCAGGGAAGTCTTCCCATGCTTGGAGTAGACACCCCCTTAACTCACCAATGGGTTTGAGAATTGTCGGTTACCCACAACCTGGTTTAGCCCGTCTGCTGAGATGATGTTACCTGGGTGTGGCCACTGCACATGCGGCAGCTTCTTGGAGCCACAGGTGAGAGATGGGTGGCAGGTGCACACCAAAGGTGGATAAGCAGCCCTGAAAGGGCTTGGTGAGCCTTCACACCAGAGGCGCTGGTCCCCCCGCCCCCAGCACTCCATTCAATTCCCCCCAGAACTGAGCTAAGACTTATTTAAGCCTACTCCCTCAGAGACCAAGGTGTGGTAGGAAAGAACTAGCCTAGAAAGTACTGGGGGAAATGTTTGTTCTTACTATAGCTCTGAAGTATATATCCCTTTGTAAAAATCAATTGAAGGTTAATGAAGTACTTAAATGGAATTTAAAAGGAAAGCTTGTCACTGGCCCCTAACAATGGGTGTAACATAGTTGGTGGGGGCTTGAGGCAATGATAGCTATAGAGAAGAGATAGGACAGCCCTTCAGGAACCCTGAGAGATTGTGTGGCTCTGGGAGTGAGGGCTAAGAGGAATCCTGAGACTGGGAGACAACAGGACTTTGTTTTTGTGTTGTTGTTTTTTTTTTATTTTTAGGCAATTGGGGTTAAGTGACTTGCCCAAGGTCACACAGCCAGTAAGTGTCAAGTGTTTGGTCGGAGGCTGGATTTGAACTCAGGTCTTCCTGACTTCAGGGCCAGTGCTCTATCCACTGCGCCACCTAGCTGCCCCGACAACAGGACTTTGGACAGAGCCTTGGTATGCCGTGGATGCCTCTGACCAAGTCATCAGCAAATCTGTGAAACAGAACACAGCCCTGAAATCCTCCCCCGGGCAGTTCAACACCAAGCCATCAATGACTCTGCTTAGTGTCCACCACCCAACAAGTTCTGAATCTACCTAATTATATTAACGTCCAGCGCACATTTCTCCAACTTCTCTACAAGAGGAGTATGACATACTCTATCAAATATCCGATTAAATCTAGCCAACCTATACCCACAGCACTCCCCTCCTCTACCATTTTAGTGACCCCGGGAAAAAAGAAAATGTGGTTAGAGTGGAATGGCCTTTTCTGGACTAAGCCAGTCTGACTGTTTGAGGTAGCTATTTCCTTTCCCAGATATTTTGTAACAATTTCCTTAATGAGCTCTTCTAGAATTTTCTCACAAGGTGAAGTCAAGGTCACTGGTTAATAGCTCACAGATTTTACTATTCTGTGTCCTCTTTCTTGAACAATATGACATTGATCCTTCTCCAGTCTTTTATTTATTTATTTATTTATTTATTTATTTATTTATTTATTTATTTGTTTATTTTTGGTGAGGCAATCAGGGTTAAGTGACTTGCCCAGGGTCACACAGCTAATAAGTGTCAAGTGTCTGAGACTGGATTTGAACTCAGGTCCTCCTGACTCCAAGGCCAGAGCTCTATCCACTGTGCCACCTGTCTGGCCCTCTCCAGTCTTTTAGTATTGATACTACTACTATTGCTACCACCACCACCACTACTATCCCTTCTACTACCACTACCACTACTACCATCATATAACTACTACCACCCCTATTACCACTACTACTACTACTACAAATAACAGTAGCTAGCATTTATATAGCACTTTAAGGTTTGCAAAGCACCCTTCATGTGTGATCTCATTTCAGGACCTCTCCTGCTCACCACAATCCTTCAAACATCCTTGACAGTTGCTTAGCATTCATTCACCTTGGTACTTGTGGATATAGCTCATTTGGGGCAGATGACTTGACTTCCTGACTATTTCCTTAAGACTTTTATTCTTGTCTTTGTATCTTCAAAGTTTATCACATAATAGTCTCTCCTTCTCCTCCTTCTCCTTCTCCTTCTCCTCCTTCTCCTCCTCCTCCTCTTCCTCTTTCTTCTTCTGTCTTAGATTTTACAGATGAGGAAACTGAGGCCCAGGGAGGAGAATTGACTTGCCCAAGGTCACACAGATAGGAAGGGTCAGAGGCGGGATTTGAACCCAGGTTGTCTGACCCATACCCTTTCCATTGTACCATGCTTGTTGACAGAATGCCTTTCGTTGTATCCCTGTGTATAGTGCCTTGGACTTGATAGGCCCTTTAATAAATGCTTCTTGACCTGACTGATTGACTGGACATCAACTCTTTGTTGTCCAGTTTTGTTCTGTGCAGAACCGGACACTACAGAATCCACATAAGAACCAAACATCCCTGAAATCTCTCTTATCAGTGATCAGTATCCCATCCTCCCCACCCAGCAGTTCTATTGTTTTGAACCTTTTCTTTTTCCTCAAGATAGCTTTGAAAAGATTCCTTTTGGGACCTTCAGATACCCTGGCCAGTTACAGCCCCTCTGTCCCTTAGTCCTCAGACGGTCCCGGAATCTCCTGTTTCTCGTCACTCAGGCTTGGTTTCCCCTTTTGTGCCCATCTTCTAAGAATCATCCCCAGCCATAACAAGGGCATGACTAATCCAGAGAATAAATGTTTTTCCAACCCCAGTTTACTTCATCTTCTAGCTAATAATTGGCTTCTGATCGTCCTACCTTGGGCATGTCTCAGTTCATAGACATGCCTTATTCTGTCCTTCTTGCTTTTGGTGACTCATAGAAACATCACAGGCAAATGTCTGCCTCTTTCTGGAATTAACGATGTTACAAAGAAGGTGCCTGTCCATTGGGGAATGGCCAAACAAGGTGTGGTACATAAAGGTGAAGGGTGGCATGCTCATCAGATTGGCAGATGACAAAGAGCTGGGCCAGGTAGCTAACACAGCGGACGAAGGCTAGATAGAGCATTGGGCTGAGTCTAGTAAGATAAAATTCAACAGGGATCATGTAGGGCCTCGTACTTGCAGACCAAAAACCAACTTCAAGATGATAAAATCAGGAGAAAGAAAGACAACAATGGCTCTGAATAAGATCTGGGGTTATGGATGGACCGCAAGTCCAATACGAATCAGCAGGTGCTGAGACAGGCCAAAAAATGAATGGGATCTTGGGTGGCATTAACAGAGGCAGAACTTCTAGGAGTGGGGGTCATGGTCCCTCTGTACATGGCCCTATTCAGACTCAATCTGGTTCAGCACCGAGGACCATGAAGGTCGTTGATCATCAGGAGGGTGTGTAGAGGAAGGCAACCAGGATGGTGAAGGGCTTTGGAGCAGAGGTTAAAGGAACTGGATGGATGTTTAACCTGGAGAAGAGAAGGCTCAGGAGGGACGTGATTAAGGACTTCAAGTGTCTGGAGGGCCATCTTGTCAGTCAGTCAGTAAATAGGCATTTATTAAGCACCTCCTGTGTGCCAGGCCCCCTGCTAAGCACTGGGGATACAAAAAGAGGCAAAAAGATAGTTCCTGCCCTCGAGGAGCAGAACTCCACTCTAATGGGGAGAAGACAAGCAAACAAATATATACAAACAAGCCATAGACAGGAGAAATAGGAAATGAGTAAGAGGCTAGAGAGGAGGGGTGAGGCCTGTTTTACCTAGGTTCTAGCAAAGCTTTTAATACAGCATTTCCTGCTACTCCTATGGAGATGATGAAGAGGTAGACGTTAGACAATGATACAATACAATGAACTCAGAAGGGGTGGAGAGTTGGAAGGGACCCCAAAGGCAGGCAAGTCCAGCCCGCTCACAAAGAATGCATTTTTTTCTTTAGCAGTCATTAGTCCTAGGGAGAAGGGTAGGTGTTTATCAGCTGCGGTGTTCCTATGAGTCACTGTTGTCCGAAACCAAGAGCAAGAAGGACAGAAGAGGAACGTCCAGCACTTAGGTCAGTGCCCAGCACCTGTTTTTGTTGGTCGGTCATTTTTCAGTGGTGCCCAACTCTTCGTGACCCCATTTGGGGTTTTCTTGGCAAAGATACTGAGGTGCTTAGCCATTTCCTTCTCCAGCTCATTTTACAGTTGGGGAAACTGAGGCAAACAGGGTGAAGAGACTTGTTCAAGGTCACACAGCTAGTAAGTGTCTGAGGCCGGATCCGAGCTCAGGGAGATGAATATTTCAGACTCTGGACCCGGCACTCTATCCCCCGCATTATCTTTTTTTTTTTTTGGCAATTGGGGTTCAGTGACTTGCCCGGGGTCACACAGCTAGTAAGGGTTAAGTGTTTGGTTTAAGGCCGGATTTGAATTCAGGTCTTCCTGACTTCAGGGCCGGTGCTCTATCCACTATGCCACCTAGCTGCCCCTGCCACCGAATTAACTAGCAGCCCACCTGGCACATAGTAGGTTCTTGTGGACTTGACATCTATGGGCTGAGCAGAATCAGGGCATGGCAGAAAGCAATGTCTGGAAGCTGTGAAAAGGCCAACTGAGGCTCAGAAAAAGACTTCTAACACTGAGAGCTGTCCCAGAATAGAATGGGCTGCCTCCAGTTATGGTGGGTCAGTGTCCTCCTTTGAAGTTTTCAGGCAGAAGCCGGATGGCTACTCATCGGGTATGGTAGAGTGAGGTTCCTTCCACCTTCAAGCATATAGTCTTATGAACAAGAAGGTGAGCCTGAATGCTATGTAACGACTACGTTTGGCTCTTAGAGACAAGAAAACACACCTTCCTCCCTTCTTTGCCAAGGTGGGGCACTATGGGTGTGGGGTGTTGCATATACTGTCAGCAAGTTGATATGTTGGTTAGTTCTGCTGAACTGTCTTTTTTTCTCCTCGTAAAAACAGACACCTGCTTGCACCAGTATTCTGAGAATTGGAGCTGTCCCCCAGCACCTTTGCACTGGATGGAGTCTCCTCCTCCTCCTCCTCCTCCTCCTCCTCACTGGAGGTCTCCAGGCAGAGGGTAGATGGCCACCTGTCAGAGGTTGGAGACAGGATTCTTGCTCAGGTACAGGTTGGATCTTTGAGATTCTGGGATTCTATGGGTCAAAATTCAGGGGAATCTGATTTTGCAGGAAACAATCATTAACAATTAAAACTCTGAAAACTTGGAGGAGACAACCCCAAGGGGCAGGAGGGAGTTGTCTGTCAATGAAAGTCTTTAACCAGGCATCTGGTGCTCTATGTTAGGGATGTTCCAAGGTTCCAAGGCTTCGAGGTTCGAGCTTCAGTTAGACGTAGAATCATCCAGTCAGCTAACGCGTCTTCATTAAGTCCCACTATGTGCAGACACTGATGTCCTCAGATCTCTCCCAGCTCATGCATCAAAGGAAGGAACTGGGGACGTTTGGCCGAGAGTAGAGAAGTCTCTAGGAAAACATGATTGCTGTTTTCAAGTATCTGAAGGGCTGTTGTATGGAGGAGAGAGTAGCCTCATTCTGGCTTGGGCCCAGACATCCCAAATTCTCACTTGGAACCAGGAATAACTGATGTAGTAGGGAAGGCAGATCTAACCTTGATGTCAGGAAAACCTTCCGAGGTCTTCTGAAGTGGAATGGGCTGTCTGGGGAGGTAGCGCGTGCCCTGTTACCCAAGTTTTTCAAGTGGAGGCTGGGGGATCATTTGTCAAGCATGGTTTTAAAAATTATTCTGAACTTCATAAGCACCAAGCAGAGCAGATCATGAGGACTGCATTCAGCCCTGCCTGACCCTTTGTGAGCCCATTTGGGGTTTTCTTGGCACGGATACTGGAATGGTTAGCCATTTCCTTCTGCAGCTCATTTTACAGACCAGGAAAACAGGGTTAAGTGGCTTGCCCAGGGTCACACAACTAGCATCTTTGCATATGAAACCCTAACTCTCTAATATAAAGCTTGCTTTCCCTTTATATAATAAATTCCATGTGCTATTTTCAAAGATGTCCCGAATCGAATTAAATGTTATATACCTCCCAGCAGAGGAGGGAGGCCACTTCATTTGTCTCTGTATCCCCAGCACCGACCACAGATCCCACCCTTAATTGTTCGTTGGCACTCAGTGGGGTCTTTCCAGATTCCTCCTGGCTAGAGGTCCCTTGAATCAGCAGGCATCTATTAAGCACCTACTACGTGCCAGGCACGGGGCTAGCTCCTTCGGCTGCAGCTACGAGGCATGAAGCAATCCCACCCTCAAGGAGGTTCCATTCTAAAGGGGCGAGCAGGACGCATGGACAGAGAATCCAGGCGAATCTGTAGTTAAATCAGGGGCAGTGTGGGAGGAGGCCGGCAGCCTTTATCCGGCTCCTGCGGGGCACGCCCGGCAATGCAGCGGCTGGTGTAGACAAAGTGACAGGGAAAGCCCCCGCCCTCCGGGAGCCGCCACGCCCACCTGCACGTGGACGGACACCCAGCAGAGGAAACTCCTCCTCCCGACGCGGCCGGGAAGCCCCGCCCCGCCCCGCGAGCCCACCACGTGCAGCCTGGCGTGCCCCGCCCTCGCCCCGCCCCCGCACGAGGCGCCGCCTCATTGGCCGAGGCGCGGACGCCGCCGCGTGACGTCACGGAGCGTCCCATCGCACCGCGTGACGACAGGCGGGCGTCCAGCTGTGGGGGGAGGGGACAAGATGGCGGCGTCCGTGGGGCGAGCGGGGCCCGTGCTGGGCCAGTGGGCCGCGCCGAGGATGAGCAGGTGGGCCCGGGGTCGGGGGCTCGGGGGCCGAAGGGCTGCTGGCGGGGGCTGGGGGGCCGGCGGGGGTGGAGCAAGAGACCCCGGCGGGCCGAGCGGTTTCGCTGCCTCAGTTTCCCCGTCCCTAACTTGGAGCAGGTGGGATTAGGAGCCTCAGGGGTCCCCTCAGAGACCTGACAGCCCCTCCCCCCGTGAGCT